CAGGGTATACATTTCACCCGAAATTGTCTTAAACAGGCTCTGCAATTTAGATAAAAGACCGATATAATTTTTTTTGTGAGTCTTGGGCAGGGTAATATTTTCATAAGAAATACCGTAGAAATAGTAGAAGCACTGTTTCATTGTAGCAGGATTATAACGTGTTATCAAAACTTTCTTATTGTCTTGGTTGCGGCGTAGATAGCTATTCCTTATTTTTTCGATTTATCTTGAACAGGGTATGGGATTTTCACTTCTAGTGTTAAACAGGGTCACGGTTTTAGACCACTGGCGGCACGTACCTATCAAAAACGGGGTCGAGTACTACATTCTACTAACTATGACTCTTGCTATGAGTATGTGTGGCTGCATGCAAAAAGTAATGCTATGCCATAAAAATGAAAACGAAATCTCGCACAGGATCATGGTATAGTGAAGGTGCAAAACGAGGCAGACCGGGAGGATGTAGGGGTTCATATACTTATAACTCATTTGATTATATTCCAGTGATGGCAGAAGGAATCCAGTTCAGCCCCAGCAGTATATCCAACTCGTCAGGTAAAGACATTTAACTCAACAGTTGATCATGCAAATAGAATAGCCTCCTTCATCGATGGTAACCTGCGCCATCTTGAAAGGTAGACTATTCTTGAAATGCACTTTAATYACACCACACATTACTACTATTAACCCACTATTAATTCATTATCATCACTAAAAAGAATTAGTGTCTTTGCTCTGTAATTTCARTGGAAAATAAGTACTTTAATTTAAACTTTCTATTTCGTAACGTTACTTTATCAGAATATCGCATCTTCGACTGCGACGATATGAATGTACGAAACCATCTCAGAGCCAACCAAGCRTCCATYGAYCACCTCACYTTCAAAAATTTGGAAACTACAGATACTGCGGACATTGGCTATCGCTTTGCGTTAAAAACACCACATCTTGAGGCTTACGACGAGGGGGATGTCGTGGGATTTTTTAAAGATGAGAAAGGCGGGACCTACATTGATTTGCTGGATAGTATTAACGCGCAGGACACGTTTATGGCGGGAGTTATCTCACGATCCGCATACCTTGAAGCCAAGCAGTCACTTGAAAAAGGTACGTGCGAGTGTGATGATTAGAACAGAGACAGTATAGCACAACATACGCAGAAGCAGTAGGAAGAGGTAAAGGAAGAGATAAAAGAAAAGATAAAATTAGAAGCAGAGACAGTATAGAATAACACAAGCAGAAGCAGTAGGAAAACGTATAGGAAGTGACTAAAGAAAAGGTTAAATTAGAAGAAGAAGAAGATACAGAAGCATGTACAGAATCAGAAGCATAAATAGAGATAGAAGTAAAGGAGATCGTGGTGGCGTAACAAAGGGTGCTTTCGATGTTTCCTGTAGAATAATGGACAGAATTTGAAAATATGAATTTCCTAACTAAATGGGAATGATATATAATGACATTTTCTCTGGGTCTGGCCAACCAGTTCTGACAAATGGAATTAAAGCGCACAAACACTAGCCGTGAACCCCTTCAGTTACTAGTTCTCCAGGGGTGGCACCTAGCATGATGCAGTTGACTGCAAAATTGCACAAGTATTTTTTGGGCGGGGATTCTCAGCGAACAAACTCTTTCAATATGTGTTACCCTAATGATTTGGTAAATAAACTATAATCCCGAGACTCTGGAGCTACTCCCCTTCATGGGCCCATGTAATATCAATTAGCTTGGAGTCAACAGTTGGCATTGTGATTTTAATTTCAATTCCCYATTTCAGAYGTCTCAGATGTAGTGTGTGTCATAGGAGTAGTYCAGGTCAAATGTGCTGGCTCGGTGCGCGCTGGTGAACGCATCTACTCGGCTTTAATCAAAGACAGAGCAGGCACAGCTATTGCAGAA